GGAAAAGTGACTTGCCAGATGGACAGAGAATATCTCAATGCTCTGAGTGTGCAATTATGATTTCATGAAGAGGATATTTCATTCCTCTGGCCAAAAGGGGCAGGGAGTCCTGGAATTCTGAATCTCTGGCCATACATGTCTGATGGAGACCATGCATTGTGGTGCTATTCATACATGGTATATACATGTTATAAGAGATGGGATTGTTTGTGTAATTGTGTGCATGTGACACTCCTTGTAACGGGTAGGTTACCCTGCTTTCAGAAAAAATTCATACATGGTATATACATGTTATAAGAGATGGGATTGTTTGTGTGTAATTGTGTGCATGTGACACTCCTTGTAACGGGTAGGTTACCCTGCTTTCAGAAAAAAAACAAGTATGAGGCACAAGTATGGCCACTTTCTCAGAACTCCCTGCTTTAACGGGCACTTCAAAATATCTCTCAGAGATATATGCATGTGCATGTGTATATGTGTGTGAGTGAGATTAATAGGAAGAGGGAGACTCTGAAAATTTGGACTTCGTAATTCAGAAATGAGTTGTCTTCCTTATGCACTGGTAACCGATTAATACCCAGTTGCTCAAGTTCATGATTCTACATATCTGATACTGGCTTTTGTCCAAAGATCCCACAATCACAGCATGCGAGAGATGGGAGCTATAATAGAAAATCTCACCAGGCACCCATTTCATAGAGGAAGGATCAAGGCTTAGGGGATTTAAGGAATTGGCCCAAGGTCGCACAGCTAGTTAGGGGCATGCTGGACCAGAATTCCAGTCTCTGTCTCACTTATCGTTGTAATTTCCCCTTTGCACAGGTCAAGAAATTTAGACAGGACAGGTTTTTCATAAGATCCCTCTGCACGGCAAGGGCAAAATAAGAACCAGCTTAAGGCTCCAGAACTTCCTGCCATGTTCACTTTAGAAAAATCCAAGCTTGGGGCCGGCCCGGTGGCGCACTGGATAGTGCGCCGCTTGGGAAGCGCGGCGGCGCTCCCGCCTGAAGGTTCGGATCCCACATGCAGACCGGTTCCCGCTCACTGGCTGAGCGAGGCATGGGGGCGACGCTGAGGGTTGCAATCCCGTTGCCGGTCCCCGGCCCGGTGCGGGGGCAACACTGAGGGTTGCGATCCAGTTGCCGGTCCCTGGTCCGGTGCGGGGACGACACTGAGGGTTGCGATCCGTTGCCGGACACGGAAAAT